AGTCGCTCGTTATTCTTTATTGGAGCGTATCCGAGATCGGTAGTATGGTGATCCTCATTTGTGTGTCCTTAGAAACACGGTGCAGCGTGGAGGTGCCAAGCAGGTTACCTTCGGAGATGATAGATTTTTGAGATTGCAGGGTCGAGTTTGTGTGCCTAATATGGATGGGCTCCGGGAGTTGATTTTAGATGAGGCCCATAGTTCCCGCTACTCTATTCATCCAAGCGCCGCGAAGATGTAACAGGATTTGCGGCAGCATTATTGGTGGAGAAGAATGAAGAAGGATATCGTTGCATATGTGGCTCGGTGTTTGAACTATCAGCAGGTTAAGTACGAGCATCAGAGGCTTGGTGGTTTGTTCCAGAAGATTGAGATTCCTGAGTGGAAGTGGGAGTGTATCACTATAGACTTCGTTGTTGGACTCCCAACGACTCAGAGGAAGTTCGATGCAGTGTGGGTTATTATTGATAGACTGACCAAGTCAGCACATTTCATTCCTGTGGCAGTCTCATATTCTTCCGAGAGGTTAGCTGAGATGTATATTCGGGAGATTGTTCGCCTTCATGGTGTGCCCGTGTCTATCATTTCGGACCGAGGTACGCAGTTTACCTCACATTTTTGGAGAGCAATTCAGCGAGAGTTGGGCATAGGGGTTGAGTTCAGCACATCATTTCATCCTCAGACGGACGGGCAGTCCGAGCGGACCATTTAGAGTTTGGAGGATATGCTCCGAGCTTGTGTCATTGACTTTGGAGGCTGGTGGGATCAGTTTTTTCCTTTAGCAGAGTTTGCCTACAACAACAACTACCAGTCGAGTATCCAAATGGCTCCTTATGAAACTTTGTATGGTAGGAAGTGTCGGTCACCGGTTGGATGGTTTGAGCGGGGAAAGGCTCGGTTGTTGGGTACAGATCTAGTGCAGGATGCCTTAGACAAGGTCAGGGTCACTCAGGATAGGCTTCATACAACTCAGTCTAGGCAAAAGAGTTATGTTGACCGTAAGGTTCGTGATTTGGCATTTATGGTCGGTGAGCAGATATTGCTTCGAGTGTCGCCTATGAAGGGCGTGATGAGATTTAGGAAGAAGGGCAAGCTTAGCCCTAGGTTTATTGGACCGTTTGAGATTCTTGATCGAGTGGGAGAGGTGGCTTACAGATTTGCGTTGTCGCTGAGCTTATCAGTCGTGCATCCAGTGTTTCATGTGTCCATGCTTCAGAAGTATCACGGCGATTCATCCCACGTGTTAGATTTCAGCACTGTCCAGTTGGACAAGGATTTGTCTTATGAGAAGGAGCCGGTGGCTATTCTAGACCGGCAGGTTCGTCAGTTGAGATCAAAGCATTTTCCTTCTGTTCGTGTTTAGTGGAGAGGTTAGCCTGCTGAGACATCGACCTGGGAGTCCAAGTCAGATATGCGTAGCCGTTGTCCCCATCTTTTTCCCGACTCAGGTACTTCCTTCTTCTGTCCGTTCGAGGACAAACAGTTGTTTTAGAGGTGGAGAATGTTTGGGTCATCACTTGTTTAAAAAATAAATTCTGCATTTTGAGGCCTTAAAAACCTCTTTCTATCTCACCTCGATTTGTATGCACAGTATGGACACGTAGCTGGAAAGCCAATATGTGAAAATTTGTGAAAAATGATGAATCTTGACTTTAAAATAAATTAAGTTGACTTCGGTCAACATTTCGGTTAAACAGACCCAGACTCGTGATTTGACGGTCCTGGAGGATCCGTAGAAAATTATGGGACTTGGGCGTATGCCCGGAATCGAATTCCGAGGTCCCAAGCCCGAGAAATGAATTTTTAAAGAAAATTATTTTCTGAAATATTTATGAGTTTTTGAAAAAAAAATGTGTTTAAAACTTGGTGGTATCAGGCCCATATTTTGGTCCCGGTACAGGACTTACATATGATTTAAGATGAGTCTATGAAATTTGGTAAGAAACGGACTTGAAACGACGTGAATCGGACCATATTTGAGAAATTTAAAGTTCTTAAGAAATTTCATAATTTTGATGCTAAATTCATAGTTGTTGATGTTATTTGGTGATTTGAATGCACGAACGAGTTTGTATGATATTTTAGGTTGTTGTGCATGTTTGGTTTGGAGCCCCGAGGGCTCAGGTGAGTTTTGGATAGGCCACAGAGTAGAATTAGACTAGGAAAAATTTCAGCTGTTCTATTGCAGGCCTGCAGGCTTTGCATTTGTGAAGCCCGGCTCGCAATTGCGAGTTCGCAAATGCGAAGGCTGTGTCGCAAATGCGAACATAGCCTAGGCCGGCCTACCTCGCAAATGCTAGGAACTTATCATAAATGCGAGGAACTTAGACGCATTTCAACCATTTTTCACAGTCTTTCAAAACCAAAACACCCTAGGGCGATTTTTTATAGGCAACATCTACTCTAAATCGATTGTAAGTGATTTCTAACTAGTTTTCTTCAATCCTTAACATCTTTTCACATGATTTCAACTCAAAATCAATAGTTTTCATGAGGGAAATTGGGTGTTTTAATGTTATCTCCCTTGCCGAGAGGTTGATGCTTCTTTTGATATTGTTCCCTTGTCGGAACTCAATTGTTGAACTATTGTTCCCTTGCCGGGATTTTTATTGTAATTTCATTCATTTCCTTGACCTATTGTTTGTGATTGTTGTTTGGGTGAGGAAGAGTATTAAAGCACGAAGGGTGATGCCGTGTATTGTTTTGGTGAGAGAGTGTTAAAGCATGAAGGGTGATGCCGTGTATGATTTGTGAGGAAGAGTGTAAAGCACGAAGGGTGATGCCGTGCTGCACGATGTATAATTTCGTGCCGATTATATTGATTATATGGTGAGGACGAGAGTAAAAGCACGAAGGGTGATGCCTTGCACATTTTCATTACATGATTGCTTTGGTGAGGACGAGAGTAAAAGCACGAAGGGTGATGCCGTGCACTATTTGATTTCTTATCTTTTTTGTTGATATCTGAGATATGTTGTTCCTTTTAATTACCCGTTGTCTTTCTATTCTAAATTGATAGTCCCCCGCATCATGTTTCCCCTCCCATACTTGACTGTATATTACTGTTCTTCTTTTCCGCTGTATATAGTTAAATTGCACAGGTTTATTTGGTAGTTTGGTCCGAGCCTCGTCACTACTTCGCCGAGGTTAGGCTAGGCACTTACCAGCACATGGGGTCGGTTGTGCTGATACTACACTCTGCACTGTGTGCAAATCCCGGAGCAACAACTTTTGGACCGTAGCTTGGGTGGCTGCCTTCAGCCCACACGGAGATCCAAGGTAGTCCTGCAGGCGTCCATAGGCCCTGGCGTCTCCCTCTATCCCTTTATCCTGTTTCATTTACTTATTTCAGAAACAACGTATCTTTTATCTTTCAGACTTTGTATGTAGTATTCTTAGACCGTCTGTAAAACTGTGACACCAGTTCTGGGTAGCCGATGTTCAAACAGTTGTATTGGATTCATATTCAGATAGTTTATTGTTTTTCTTCCGCTTATTGTAAATTTCGCTGTCTACATGTTATTGCTTCATAATTGTTAAAGAATATAAAATGGGTAAAAAGGTAATTTGTTCAAACAGTCGGCTTGCCTAGCTCATATTAGTAGGCGCCATCACGACTTCCAAGGACGGGAAATCCGGATCGTGACATGATGATCTCTTGGTGACAGGGAACAATGCGTGCCTGGTTGAAGAATTTAAGAAGGAAATGATGGAAGTTTTTGAAATGGCAAACCTTGGGCTAATGACATACTTTCTGGGAATGGAAATCAAGCAAGGTTCTGATGAAAATTTTTATCTGCCAGAAGAAGTATGCAAGGGAGATACTTAAAAAATTAGGCATGGAGAACTGCAAGGCAACAAGTACACCTATGAATCCAAAAGAAAAGTTAAGCAAAGAGGATGGAACTGATAAAGTTGATGAAGGAAATTTCAGAAGCTTGATTGGGTGCTTGATGTATCTCACTGCTACAAGGCCGGATATTCTATTTGCTGTAAGTCTTTTGTCTAGATTTATGCATTGTGCTTCTGAAATGCATTTCAGAGCAGCAAAAAGAATTATACGATACATTAAAGGTACTGTCGACTATGGTGTCAAATTCAAGAAGTGTCAGAATCTCAAGTTGTATGGATTCTCAGACAGTGATTGGGCTGGATCCTTTAACGATATGAAGAGTACATCTGGATATTGCTTCAGCCTAGGATCAGGGATATTTTCTTGGTGTTCCAAGAAGCAAGAAACTGTGGCACAATCCACTGCAGAGGCTGAATTCATTGCAGCAACAGCGGCAGTAAATCAAACCTTATTGCTGAGAAAAATACTGTGTGAATTGCATATGGATCAAAGAGATATTACAGAGATTCATGTTGATAATCAAGCTGCAATAGCTATTTCACATAATCCAGTGTTCCATGGGAAGACTAAACACTTCAACATTAAGCTTTTTTTTCTTGAGGGATGAGCAGAAAAATGGAGAAGTGATTCTTGTATACTGCAAATCTGAAGACCAGCTAGCAGATGTGTTTATGAAATCTCTTCCCGTCAGCAAGTTCGAGTTCCTGAGGCAACAACTTGGAATTTGCAGCTCCTAATGCAAGGAGGAGTGTTAATTAGTTGCTTTAGGACTGCAATATTTATATTATTTTCCTGCAGTTTGTATTTTTAGTTTTATTAGGAGTTAGTTATCATGGTCAGTTCCATGACTTAAAAGTAGGGTCATGATCTATTTCAGTTTTCTTTTTAGGATATGTTTTAAGAACCTGCCTTTAACTGAACTCTTTGTATGTTAGTTTCTAAGTCATCTTCTTAATTTTAGTTCTTCATATTCTCCCTGCTTCTTGTTGTGTTTAAAAGTAGACACTGTCTTCATCGTGTTTTGCTGTCATTTGTGCTTTAAATCTAACAATAAGGCTGCGTACGATAGATTCTTGTGGTCCGGCCCTTCCCCGAACCTCGCGTGCACCGGGCTGCCCTTTACATATATGATTTGTATGTAGTTTACCTGATAAAGGGCATCGCTTTGTAAAAGACTCTTGTGTCCAACTTCTTGGTGTCTTCCATTTTGGTTTTCTCCATTGGTTGCCATTGCTGCTTGTGAATATTTTAACTAGTATATATAGTAATTTGTTTCTGAAGTAGATAAGTTTAAGGTAGAAACCTGCTTTTTGGAGAAATAAAAATGGTATTTATAGAAAACCAAAGAGACGTGACCATATAGAGTGGAGGAGTTGGTGTGCTGAAAATTAATGATTGAAAGTTGGTGAGTTTCTGGTTCTGTTATTCCTCTTACAATTTCTGGGAAAATACAGCCAAGTGACCAACTCCTTTTCTTTGACTTCAACTCTGTCACCTAACAATATACCTTCCAACAGCCCTCACTTTCCCAATTTCAAATTTTAGTCTATAATTTAGATTAAGGAATAATATGCACCATCCGTGTAAATATATTTACACCATCGTGTTATGTTTACATGTTGTAGCAGGTAATATATCTTATTTTCAAGATTATAAATCTCACATTTTAAGGGGATTTACCTGTATGTATACTTTAGATGACCTGATAGTATAAAATGTATTACACTGATGACACATATTCTTTATTTGAAGAGACTGTCAAGAGGACAACGTATTAGCAGACATATTTTCTTAAAAAGCTTTAAGATTAGTTACTCTTTAAACACGATGCGAAGTTACAAAAAAGTAGTTGGTTCGGCAACTATAGCGAGCCTGATAGTTCTTATCTTGTGAAAATTCAAGTATAATGCTGGAATAGTGGAATAGAACTTCTTAGACATGGTTCATATAATTCTAGCTGAAGAAGAGAGGCAGGCACTTTCAGGACATATCTTTTTATTTACAACTTTTCATAATTATATACTACTGAAAACTGAACCTTGACTTTGGTTTTATTCTATTAAGGCTATAGCCCTTTCCCCTTGAAATAAAAAATGAATGTTTGAACTGTGCCAATGGAATCTTGACAGTGATTACAAATTATGATACATTTGTTGATTACAAAGGCTTGTAAGACATCAACCTTTTGAGCATGGCCAGACATTCACGAGGCTTATACTCTGGTGCAGTATGCCCTGCTCCCTGTAACAAAATAGTGCAATTTAAACACCAACTATTTAACAAAATTTTTTATCTTCAAACTTAACTGAGAAAAGCAAGTGAAAGAGATATCTTGCCTTTACTGTGGCAAATGTCATCCGATTTGAGTAACTTCTCGTGTAACTACAATCATGCAAAAGACAAAAAATGAGTTTAACTTCTATACCTTGACAGAGCTTATGACTAGCGTACAATGTTTTCATCATAAACTAACCCGGCAACTTGATTGTCAACGATCCACGGTCGCCAATCATCAACAATGGAGTAGTTAAGAGATTTTATCCATGCTTGAGTTGATAGGAAGGTAACAACCTTGTCATGATCTCCACTGCTTAATTCAAAAAACATAGAAAACTAAGTAAATAGTTTCACAGAGATAATAATCTTCAACTATTTATGTAGTTATTCCAATCTTGCAAACACAACAATCTTACTCAACCTGTATATAAGAGATCTGTAACCTTTAGCACTGAGGTTTGCATGATATGGTATGCTACTCATGATTGTCTTTTGGTATTGCAAACTTGCACATCTCACCCATTTTCCAATAGTTCCCTGTAATCAAATTGATCATATTTTTAGTTTTGTGTAGCACACTTTGTTAAATTTTGTTGTTCTTCAAAAAAAAAGGCAGCATGATGCACAAAGTATCACGCATTCATGCAAGGTGGCCGCATCTCAAGGGTGTGATATAGACAGCCTATCATAATGCAAGCATTACTGCTTTCATGGCTCAAATCCGTGCTCTATAGATCACACAGAGATATTTTTACCGTTGCTCCAAGGTTCCCCTTCCAACAAGAACTAACGTACCTTTCGGATATGGAGGGCCTCTCTAACTTGGCCATCATCAGCCCAATGAGAAGAAAGTTTGTACCAATCATTCTAAATCAATTGCAAGTTGTAAATTCTCGTAAGTATCTCAGTGAAACAAAAAATCAATAGCATAAAGAATGCTAGAGTTTGTTGATGAGTACCCACGCGACACTTTAGCGCAGGGAGTTGTTGAGGATTGTTAAGTTGATGAAACTTCACATTAAGAGATCTTCTTTGGCCAAACAATAGGTGTGGCTTTGGTGAAGCAAACTGACATTTGGGCTCCAGAATATGGGGATTATTAATTCTTTTCAGAAGCTGCATAAGGTCAGTATGTTAATGAACCTATCATAAAACAAACAGATGATATTTGATTTTCCTCAAAATAGGATCCAACCTCTTGAAAAGTATGAACATCTTGCAAACATTGTGTATTGCTTGGATCAGTGTTTTGATACTCTCCTTTACAATTTCTCGTCAAGGACTATTTGAGAAAGGGAAATCAATTAGTTCTAAGGACAATGTAAGCAAACTAAATTAAAGCGCATAACTGGAGGATATTTAAGATCTTACGGTCAAACCTCTGTATAACAGCATCCATATATAATAGTCATTTACTATAAAGCCAAGTTTTTCTCGGAGCCGATTTTGTATGTTATGTTATACTAATATATATCCTCTATAACAACACTTCATTATAGCATCCAAAAAATATCGGAACAAATGTAGCTATTATAGAAAGGTTTGACTGTACTATATAACACCAAAGGAAAACCAACCTCATAGAGTTCATCAGAAATAAGTCCCATTCCATAAGCAAATGGAATCTCATAATTCTTTTCACCTTTAAAAGTCGATGGATTTCCGAGTAAATATCCCTGAAACCACTTGACGAGAGATATCAGGTCATACATTTTGCAAATCAACTCACATTCTACAGTGACTTTTGATTCTGTGTGATGCCCATGAAGGAGGGGGCTGATGAGGGCAAGTTAAGTAGGACTGACTAGCTTCTAGGCTGCCAAACTTCTGAATAAGCGGTGCACATGTCACCTTAGACGAATCCCCATATCGGAATAATAGAGGAAAGTGATGAACTTTATAAGGTATGACACAAGTTCACATGGTGCACGCGCTTTTGGGGCTCGAGGTGGCGTAGCCCGAAAGACAAATCCGTGCGAGCCTAGGCCCAAAGCAGACAATACATGCTATGGGCTTGGGTCGTGACATTCTCATAACAATTTCGTTACAAATTCTGAGTTGGTATGTAATCCGTCTGCTTATCCGTAGGGAAAAGAGAATATATACAAGAAAAATGACAAACCTGAAGATCCACAAAAGGTTTTATTCCCATCTCATTTTCTGCATTATCACAAGGCCACAAAATGTTATAGTACAAGAACAGAACACCTTACTACCTTAGGCTGCCATTACTTGTTTCACAACTATTTGAGGGAAAATATAGTCTTACTAGTTGCTATAATTTGAGTAATGATGGGAACAACCATCCCTGAATATGAGTCGCCGCCAACATACAATGGATTCTTTAAGAATTCTGGGTGATCAAGGAACCACTGCAAACAACATAAAATTATTGACTGTTCTACTACATATTGAACAACATTGAGGGGCAAAGGAGAAAATACATTTAACTAATAATTTCGTGAAGAATCTAATTACCTTGTAAAGGAACTCATATGCTTGATCACTTGCTTGTAAATCAGATGACTGTAAAGCTGTTGGAGTTCTTGCATAGGAAAATCCAGTGCCTACTGGTAAGTCTAAGAAAATAATGCTTGCCACCTAATAATTCCATCTTATTTTCAACATTTTGTGTTGTGCAGCGACCTTATGTACATAATACAGTTATAATTCACAATCAAGTACTTACCTTTGTCCATGAGTAAGGATTCAGTTTCATTGTAGGCAAACTCCCATTGTATTCCACTGGCTCGAAAGTTATAGGTCCTTCATATATTCATAAGCTAAAAATGTAAGAAAGTAACCTATATGGCTTGTAGAAAGATAGAAACTTTGGTTCAATTCAAGTAACACTTTTCTGGTGTGCTAGTTTATTTTCTTTGGTCAAATATAGGGGTTAATCCTACGTATTGTCACTAAATTTTACCCACTATAAGATAAAGTGAAAATATTATTTTTGTTACAAGAGGGAGGCGAAGTTAGCAGTTGCAGCTGCAAAAACGACATCGTTCAAACGCTTGAATGTAGAACTTGAGGAAAAAGGCTGAAATAAGAAGTTGTACATGCTAGCCAAGGCAAAGAAAGGAGAGCCCGAGACCTGGATCAAGTGAAGTTCATCAAATGGCAGACATACTTCCATAAACTCTTGAACTTAGATGGCTTGTAGAAAAGCAGAAACTTTGGTGATTCATTTCAAGTAACACTTTTCTGGGGTGTTCTACTTTAAGTTGTCAATGATCACAACACAAAGTCTACGCTTTAGCTTGTGTGTGAAACTAAGATCTTTATTTTCTTTGGTTAAATAGAGGGGCTAATCCCAGTCACTGAATTCTATCCACTTTAACATAAAGTCAAAAGATGTTTTTTTTTTTGTCACAATCAGTGGAGGAGCCACATGCACTCAAAGGGTGTCGATTGGCACTGCTTCGTCGGAAAATTACACTGTGTAGCTAAACAATTAATATATATATATACACACACTATGTATTGACACCCCTTACTTCTTGGGAGTATTTTTATATTTTGACCCCCTTAATGAAAATCCTGGCTTTATATATCTATCTATCTATCTATCTATATCTATATCTATATTATTATAAAAGTGGGAAGCTTTTAACTAAAAAGTTGAATTACTTAAATACCCTTTTAAATAACCTAAATGCCCAACTTATACCAAGAATTTAAATAAAACATCAAATTTTAAATAAGACACCAAATTTATTTGAAAAGACATGATCCTTCATATTAGTGAAGCTAGCGACTCTTCACAGCCTTGAAGTCTAAAGGCAAACGTTTCATTTTTGGGCAGCCATATCAATTGAGGTTACTGAAATTTAAAATAAAAAAGTTCATGATTTTGGTTCATACCTCCTTTGATACGGCAGCTTCTTGCAAGGTAGGTTTTTATGGACTCATTTCTCCTTTTTATACTCCTTGAAGATAATGGAGAAACTTTATATGAAATGTTGGCTTAATAATCTATGATTATTTGTTTAATGATAG